AAGACAAATGTAAATTGAAATTTATAAAATGATTTTTTTTTAATTTAAAACTCATATATAAGACCAGAGGGAGTATTAAATAGCGGTCTTCAGATTTCTGGTGCGCCTCTCCCTCTGTCCCTCTATTTTAATTGGGTGAAACAACTGTGTAATTATTTTCTCTAACATTTTGCGCTTCCCGTTTTAATTTTAACAATACGGATTTTTTTTTTTGGCCAACTTAACAATACGGATTTGGTTTTACGCTATTCACTAGTCACTACTTTCTTCTTATTAATTTTAATTATTTTCTCTTTTTCCCCAAGGCTTTGTCTTCTTGTTCACATGTTTGAATAATTAACATGTTATCGATTTAATTAGAAGCTGCTCGTTAATTGTCATGCAACAAATGAAGTGTACACATAAAAGGGATCTCAATTTTCTCGCTGCTTCAAAATCAAAGGGGTGGGAAACGTGCTTGACTGGAAAAATGTAACATGGGAATGGAAACTCTAGCGGTCCTCGTTCCGTTATAAATAAACATCATGCCGGATTCCCATTGGACTCCCTCCACTTCTTCTCCCAAAATAAATGAATATTAAAAAAATTAGCCGGCTGTTATTCCATTTTAAATAGTACTCCTTTGATACTTAATTTAAGACATATTTAATTAATTTAATTTAATTTAAAATTTTGGATAAGTCAGTCAATTATAAAAAATATGATATGTTTTTTCTAAAATATCATAATTATCTTTCTTAATATCCTTCCTCCTCCTTCTGTTTGATTATGGATGAGAAAGTATTAATATGGGTAGTTTAGAAAAAATTGATAAATATGATAAATAAATCTTACATTTTGGACTAAGGTCAGCTCAATAATTATGTTCTATATTAAGAACCAAACAAGTAGTAGTTTCTTAGTTATTTCATTCTATGCTTAATATAAGAGTTAAATAATTATTATAAGTGTTACAAATTTTTTTAAATTAATTACTGATTAAAAAATGTGTGTTGATTTTTAAAAAATTCCTTTCGAAATATTTACATTTGAAGTATTTATTAATGGAATCCTTAGTATATACTCCTCTGGTCCTATTTATAATGCACTTCCAGCATGTTTCACACAGATCAAGAAAAACCTTAAATTTTATTAACTCTCATTTAAAATTCAATGACTTTCCAATTTTATACCTATTTAATATACATTATACTTCATATAAACAAAGTCAACATAATAATAAATGAGGGGTGAAATTATACATTTACACAAAAAATTCTCTCAGTACTCTATAAATAGGATAAAAAAATACCTTCTCTTTCTGCTTTATATATCAAAGTTGGCAGATATCTTCTACCATATTGAAACAAGAGCTCCACAAAAGAAGGGCCTCAGATTTGAACCTTGCCGCAGTTGGAACAGCATCGCGGGCCCCCATTTGACAACTGTTACCAAGAGAGGCCTCTGATTTCCTCTTGTCCAGAACCGTCCTGGAGCTCCAGGAGAGTTGCAGCGAGACACGATGAAATAGATTCTGATAGTCATCCAAGTGACGCGCATAAAGATTACTATACGATAGATTTTGAATTGACTTCATTTTGCTCGTGGGACTCAGGGGTCCTTCTTACATCACTGTACGATAAATTCTCACAACATTAAAAATAAAAATCAAATAAGCTCTCATATTAAAGATTAGAGATAGTATTAAGTATATGCCATTTATTTTTGATGAAATACTATAATCACCATTTATATCTCTTATACATTTTTCCACTCACTTTTGGCTCCTTCCAGGCACAGGATTAGAGCTTGTTTAGATTGACTTATAAATAGCTTTTTAAATGTGACTTACGAAATACAAAATAAGTATGTGAGAAGAGTTTTATCGTGAACTTACTTAAAAATCCGTTTTCAAGAGACCTCCAAACAAGCTTTTGGAGTAAAGTGGGGTAACGTAAAGCTGGCAAAGTCCAGGTAAGACAAGGGTGTGCTCCGAAAACAAATAATGGGCACCCTTATGTGACGTGGCAATAGCGGCGGAATCACGAGAGTCACGAGCGAGACCCAAACCCAAAAGGCGGTTGGGCAAATTATTATTTTCCATTCAATTATTCAGACAATATTGGCTCCAGTTACTAATGGAATCATATTTACCTGGTTAGTTTTTTACAGTGTGATAAATTAAAGTTTGAATTCTCATTAAAGAAGATGCTCACATTTAAATTTAACAGTATCTTAAGTATAATTACAGCAGAAAGATACTTATACCTAGAAAAAAAATATTTGCATTAGTTATCAATGAGTTGGATATAGGCTTACATTTCATAACATGTCCAACGAACATCTAAATTTTTGCTTAGAGAGATTCTTACATTTAAATGCCTGAAAGTCTCTTAAACAAGATTGCGTCTTATGAGATGATACTTATGCCTTGAAAAATTATAAATATAAAATATAAAGCTGTTTGTATTAAAAAAAAAAAAAAGAGGAGCTGGTAACCTTATTTTATCATCTTCCTTGGGGAAATGACTGATATCCAGAAAAATTAAAAATTCAGCATGTTCCTTAACGAAGAAGTTGACGTTCCAGCATTTGCTATAACTGGTAAATGTCGGTTTACGCAGTGATGTATTAAAATGTTAAAAATGCAAAGATTTTGGATAGACAAAAGTCAGGGACATAGAAAACCTCGTTTGTCACTAATGTATTTTAATTTGAAAATATTACCTCTGTACTTAATATAAGAATTAGTTAACTAATTTGAGTATATCAAAAAAATTAGTTAACTAGTTATTCGTAATAAATAGGTATTGTCCTTCTTAAAATATCCTTGTTAAACAACTGTATTGGCTAGCAGTACCATTGTTACAAGGATTATATTGGCACAAAAGAATAAATATGAGAGACAAAATGGACTAGGATCTTATATTTAAAACTAAAATAAAAATCAAATAAAATTTTGTATTCCTCCTATCCTTAATATAAGACTTATTTAATTAATTTAATTAGATTAAGGAAGTTAGGTAAGTTACTTAATGATAATAAATATGACATATTTTTCCTAAAACACCATAATCATTTTCTTTAATATTTTCTCTCCCTATATTAAGGATAAGAGGAGTATTAAGAGCCGGAGGTAGTAATTTTATAGGACAGACTACAGGGTTATCTGGTGAAGAAACAGAGACCAGATTATTATATTTAATTTCAATTTTATCAAACAGAAGAATCACGATGATACGTGCTCGGGGTGGACCCTCATTTATTTTTATGTCGACAAAATAATATTTCCCTTGTATAAGCTACAGGATCTTCTTAACTATTTTGCTTTAGTTTATGTGTATATTTAGTTATTTATTTTGTCTTTAATTTATCAAAAAGTACCTCAGTTAATGCTCAGTTTTTCTAATAAGAAGTCATCATTGATTAAAGTAGATCCTATTAAATATTAGGAATTTTTTTATGGTATTAAATACTAGGAATTTGTAGATGATCAGTAGCACAAATATTTGTTATATGAATTACAAATAATTAATTTACTTAATTTTTAATATTAACAAATTAATTAAAATGTGTTATAGAACGAAGGAGATTTTTGTTGTTGTTGTTATATAATTTTTATCCGTATATATTAATTTTTTAAATATTTTAGTAAATCTCATACTTGTGGTGGGCTACACCAACCAAAATGCTGGTGTAAACAGCATACAAATTACAAAACAAGCACTGGTGGATGCATGTGGATGATTAGAATGAGTTTCTTATCATTATTTTTTCATTGTGCATATTGATCCGTTGATTTTTTTTTTTTGTGGATATGTAGTTAGTGGTGATACAAGACTAGAGAATATTGCTTAATATTGAAAAATTGGGAAGAAAGAAAATAATTAATTTTTGAAACATCCTACAAAATTTATTTTATATTTTACGAGACAAAATAAAACTCAACTTACATGTCACCAGACATGGGTGTAGCTGTACCCCTCTCACTTGCCCCTCATTTTTGGGGGCCTTTCCAAATTTGGTTTCGTGTCTTTGCGTTATTAGATTTTACATAAAATAAATAAAATTTTGATATCTTATGGGTAAAAAATAATTCAATTTTCATGTTTTTATGATTTTTCAAAGATTCAATGCTTTAAGCTGCTCAGTTTTTTTTTTTCAATTTATGGTGTTAAATATTTAAAAAAAATCATTAAAAATTAAAAACTAAATCATTTTTAACTTATAAGATATTAAAATTTCACTCATTTAATGTAGAATCTAATAATATCAAGATATGGAAAAAATTTGGGAAGAGCCCAAAAATGAGGGGCAGCTGAGAGAGCACAGCGAACACTTTCGGATCTCATGTTTATCCCATACGCCATAAAATCACTTAAAATAAACTAAATACCCAAGTTAAAAGAATTACCAAATCTTGGATGGATTATGGATTGGACATATGGGTGAATCAGTCAACCTTTATATGGAGGCCTTATATGAGATGAGAATAATAACGGGAAATGTGGCTTTATAAAGGAATTGTGATATTTCCCAATTCCCACTGCAGAAATGACAGGTACTAGAGAATGTTTGAAGCTTTTATTAATCTCCTATATATAATTCGGAGATATGAAATGAACCATATATATGAGTGTGTAGATTACTACATAATTTATGCTTGAGATTTCAATCTAACCCACATCTCTAGCATCTCGAAGCTAATTAATTAATAATCTTACTGACTTCTTGAGATATGTACATAAATTCTTCACTTGTCCTTCTCCTTCATGCGATCATTTTGCCTGGAATAAGAGGCAAATCAACCTCGTCACACCATTCCACGTACCTCCTCTCAAAAAAAGATCTCTTTGTCTGCTTTGGCCAGTAACTTACCCCAAAATTCCCCTCCTATCCTCCACTTCAACACGCTCCTTTCCATGTCTTTGCGCAGCTTCCACCCTACTTCTTCTCCATACTCGCCCCTTGTGAGCACCACCGACCCAGTTTTCGTAAACGGTCTGTTCGCTCCCACGTACCTCCTCTTCAACCCGTGAACCGGATCGTCACACGTTTCCCCGTCCGGCTTCCCCTTTGCCACCTCCTGACCCGTCGCGTTGTCGTACAGAACGGCGTCGAATATTGCCGCCTTCTCCTCCGCTTCTTGGTCCATCCTCCAGTTCTTCATCTTCGTCTTCGTAGATGTCCTCGCCACTGCTTTTCCCTTGGAAAGTTTCAGGTTCTGGAAATTTCCCTTCACGATTTTCTGTATCTCCACTTCTTTCTCCGTGTCCTCTGTTGATCGGCTCAAACTCACCCCGCCCACGTATGTCGCTCCGACTTCCGGGCTGACCCAGATTCTAACTGGACAAGGGCCTCAAGTTGCTGGTGGGCAAGAGCGTACTTTAATACTGACTCCTTAGCATCAAGACGAGGAATTTGAATCAACGCGGATTGGGTCTAGCAGAAAGGGCTAATCTCTTATAATGTGGTGAACTAAGGTTTGAATTTTTATTAGAAGAGATACCTATATTTAGTACTCGACAGTGTCTCGAATAGAATTGCTTCTAATAGGAGGATACTGATACTTTAGCGGAAAAAAAAAAAAGACGAGGAATTTGGGGCTTCACACCATCGGAACTCGCCATTTTCATCATAGTCATCATCGACGCATAGCCCTTCAGAGCCCAAACACCGTGAGCCTCCGTGGAGTATGAAAATCCCGGGCTCCGACATGGTGGTGGAACTAACGCCCCTAATCCTACGCCTAGCTCTCTGAAAATGCACAATTTTGCCACTATGTACCCGAGGGTGCGCATGAAGCATAACTGTGCGTCTACGCCGACGGTGACTAAGAAAGTTCACAGAACCGGCAACGGGTTAGACGAGATGATTTCGAGTGCCAAAGGTAGTAATGATTGAAAATAGAGAGAGCCAGCGTCGTTAGGGGCGTCGCAGGCGCAGAGCCAGAAGAGGCGTAAGATGAAGACAAGGTTGACGAAGGTGGAGAAGGATTCGGGCGAGTGAGAGTTCATGACCCACGCGATAGGCTCGAGTTTGAGCTTCTGGAGCTGTGCCCTTGGGCAAGTATTGTTTGGCACGTTTGGGGAGAGTGCTATGATCTCCTGAACAAGCTGTACAATCAGAGGAAGGAACGGGTTTTCTCTGAAAAGGTGACATTTCTCTGAGACCCAGAGAGGTTTTTCAGCGTTGAGTGGGGAAAACCCTGCAAGCCAACAGTGAAAATCATGGCAGCTTCTGATTCCGAGCCAGTAGTTTGGTCAGCTCTTAAATGAACAAACCGAGTGGAACCGTCCTGATCAGCTTGGCCTGAACTGGCCTGGTGAGTTCAAATCCAGGTGATTCGGACTAGTCGTCCAAGTTGGGGAGCTCACATATCCATGACCAAATATCCATTATTGAGAGAAAGCTAGGTTTGATTTCTCTCTCTCGTGTGGGGGCGTTTGGGAGATGAACCATGAATGTGAAATTTATGGCAGGAATGAATGATGAAGGAAGGGACAACTTGGAAGCAGAGGAGCCCACGATGGATGAGGAACTGGGAGTGGAAAGAGGCCAATTGTGTCTTGTTTTGAGATTTTAGGTTGGATTCATTAATGAGGCTAGTTTTGTTTCGCTTTCTAACGCAGATTCTTCTAGCCCCTCATCTTCGAAAGGCATGCAATTGTTTGCAACTGTATACGTAGTCCCAGTTTATTTTGTCTCAGATTGCTCATGGGTCTGGGGACTGCCACGTGTAAGAGAAAAACTAGCTTCTTATATTTTATTTTATTTATTATTTGGCTATTTAGTACCCTGAACTGGATTATTTTTGTGATTAGTAGCAGTATTATAAAACATGGTAGTAAGACAAACTTGAGCTTTGTCTTTCATAGCTTGTTATCTCACGTCATGGCACGGGTTTATCTTTTATGCACGCAACAGATATTGAAAGCAAATCCACATCGATATATACTTGGCACTATGCCAGTACGTTTGATTTTTTAAACTGTTGTTTTTAGTTTTGATTCTTTATATGTTTACATATTTCGAGAATCTTCCTTTCAATAGAATTTTTGTTACAGAATTTATAGGTCTTTATATGAAAATAATCTCATTTTATTATATCATCGTAGTAAAAAAATTATTTGTTTTTTATATTACTTAATAATTTTAGACATAGGAAAAATGTAACGTAAATAACCTAATAATTATATTCCCTTTTATCTTAATTATAAGATATATTCTTAAAAGAAAATTTCTTAGTCTGTTATATGAGGTATTATGTGATGTTATCGAATGGTTTCTTGGTTAATTGGTTTTCATCACTTTTTTTTAAATGTTTATTTTCTTTTAATTAGTCAAAATAAAAAGAATGGGCCGTTTTTATTTTTGACTAATATGACCGCCCTCGATCATATTTAATTTGCAAACCAGAGCGGGGGACCCAAAAATTATACCTGACGATGCACTGATTAAAATTAATCAGGCTATTATTAATACTAAAATATCAATGAGGCTGTTAATTAATGGACTTTTAAGGCGTAATGGGGTGCTTATACGTTCGTATGTGTAATACCAATAGTAATATACGAGTTATATTTTTCATTTTAATTAAAAAAACAATGCAATTGTATGAAGGGAATCAGTGTAATTTTTTGCGCCTAATTATCTGCGTAACCTCTGTGTATGTCTATTATAATATTATATATGTATAAAATATCTTGATCCCAACAACGTAACATTTAAAGGTTTTACGACCTATTAATTTGTAGAAAAATTTATAATATATCCTTAATTTATTTTATTGATTAATATTTTTTAGACTTTTGAAAAAAAAAAGACAAATAAATGAAGACAAAGTTCTTTTCTTTTTTTCTTTTTTTTTTAACAGCGCGGGCGGCATGTATTTGGTTTACAATTTTTGACAGTGGCTTTGATTTTGAAAACCACAGACAAATTATACGTAATTGTCAGTGCTCAATCTGAAAATATAGATTTGTATGAAAAAGGTGAGTGCGTGGTAGTTCTATTCTGGTAAACTGATATCATGAATAATCCTAGCTATGTGTAACTTTAATTAATACTCCCTCCGGTCCTTATTATAAACTACAAATAACTGATATACAAATAACACACAATTAGTTAAAATTAGTTAAAAATAATAAATAGGTTATAAATAGATTTTTTTTTTCCAAATATGTCTTTATAATAAATGAAAAAAGGATGAAAGATAATATGTGAAAAAATGTGATAAAAAAGAAATAATTAAGGATAACAGTGAAAAAAGAAGCATATAATGTTAAGACAAATTCAAACTGAAGCTTATAAAATAGATCACATCCCTTCTCAAATTTGAAGCTTATAAATTGGACTAGATGGAGTAATATCTAAAATCAGAAAGGTTTAAACATAAGAAAACTGTGGATTGAAATTAAGAAATGCGTGATTGGGTAATTACGTGATATTTTAGAATGAATTAATAATTAAGAGTTTTTTTTTAGAAATGGGGAAGTTGAGGATATGATTAAGAAAGTTCAATTATTGGGACTGTGAGAGAGAGAGGATAGGTTTGAAGTTTGATTTTGAAGATGAATTGATGCGTTGACTCATATTCTCATGATAAATGCGGATAAAATGTTGTTGTTGTTGGAGGATTCTCGGAGACACAATCATAGAATATTGTATTTGGAACGCTCAAATACAATAACGCATATAAGAATTACATACCTTTTTTTTTTTTTTTTGCCTGGACACATAAGAATTACTACATACTTACTTAGGGTCTGGTTAGAAACGCGGATGAAACGGGTATTTGGGTAATGTAATTCCATTTCCATTTCCTTGTTCTCTCCTGCCAGCTGCATATCTTGACCACGCTCCTCTCTGGCCTAATAAAATTCAAGAGAATTACATTAATACAATTGTTAAGAGTATTATTGAATGCAAAGAATAACAAGTGTGGGGAACACGTATCCATTATTCATGATGAGATAGCATTGATGAGCTCATCCAACAACTAACAATAAATTCATTTAGGGTGTAAAACTAATCAACCCTTTCTCATCAATGGTGAGAAGTTGAGGGAGTAATATTTTACAATAGTTTTTCTTTACATCTAATTCATAAACTAAGTGGTTCTCCCTGTTCAGATGAGTACTTTAAACTCATCCGATTTAAATTATCTAAATCTGATTTGGTTGATCCGCATTTGATTTCTTTTTTTTTTATAAATAAATGAACTATATATATGAATTCATTAGAAGCGTACTAAGGGCATTTTTTTTTTAAAAAAAAAAATTAAGTACCCAAAAGGGACTTGTATTTGAAACTACAATTTATTAAAAAAAAATATTGGTTTTTTGTAGGCTGCATTTTAAACCTTGTCCCCTTGCTTAAAAGGTTGCTTTGTGCTGTGTTGTTTTTATTGGTTGTCTTAACTTTTTCGCCCTAATTAACCATTGCATAGCAGGAAAGTGGACTACTACTATTCCTCTTTTCATGTCGTAAATTAAAATATGTTTTTAAATTATAATAATTATATTAAACAATGCATAATAATTTTAACAAAATGAATTTGAGCATGCATGTTTCTATTTTCTGTTAACAACATATTTAAGGTGCTGTATGGTATGAGGAAAATAGAGGGAGGGAACAATTTTAATGAGCTCTATTTGAAAAATTGGAGAAAGGGGGTTTAAAATTTTAATAAAAAAAGAAATAATATAAAAGAGTAATAAAAATTAATTAAAAGCTTTTAATCTCATTTTTTTAATTTTTTAAATTGAACTCACTAAAATTTTTCCTTCCCTCTTTTCTTCTCTATTTTCATCGTAGAAAACGGACCCTATAAGTTTTTTTTTTAATCACACATTAAAAGTTAAAGGATTTGAGTAGCATGAAATTTGATAAAATAAAATAATTAACATTTAACGTCAACACAACAAGTAGGAATTTCAATGCTTTATTCAACAGACTTTGTGGGGATAAAATCCCATCTACCCCCTGTTTAAACGAAGCAAAGGAGCCGACTTCTGGGTAACACCAGAGGGAACCGCAAGTAGTCAGAGAGACAATCAGGTCGTCTAATAATTGGCTTCTACCCTCGGTCTCGATGGCGAATTGGACACTAACAGTATCAGAGAATTTCATTGTTTATAAGTGATCAGAAGGATCTAGCCAAGATCCTCTCAGACGACGATTTAACTCTACTTCAGACTTCACAGAGGAGCTCACACTATTGATGGCTCCGGGGAGTGACTTGCTGCTGAGGCAAAGCATGATCTCATACCAGAGAAAACCTGACGAAGAAATTGCCATACAACTGTGTACGACGTGATTGCAGCTTTCAACGCAAAAAGACTCCATATGATGGATGCGACTATGCCCACCGATGGAGCTAGGATCATGAGAATCAGCACAAAGACCAGA